GAAATTGCGGCATAGAATTCTCTAAGGCAATTATTCCATCTCTCAGGGTAAATATGCTCCATGAGAACCTCCCTGGCCTTCCAATTTGGATAACTTTTTATGGGTATGGTAATTATGGCGCAGAATTGTCTAAGGCATTTATTCAGCCTCTTAAGATAATAAGGCCCTCTTTTAAGGCTCCTCATACCTTACCTCAAGGAATTTTGGAAACTGTTGTCTGGCGTCAATATTCCTACAAATCAGACACGCACACAAACAAACGAAAATAAAACATAGGTAATCACATAACTATGCGGACCCAGAGACGACGTAATATTAAGGAATGCCTTTTACGAAGTGGAGGATTCCTTCTGTTATTCTCCTTGATATCCTTACTAACACATTTTCACATATTTCAACCGAAGGAAGAGTAGGTCAAAGTGGCGAAGCGATGACGTATATCTATTTTGGTGAGGAGATTCTTTGAATGTGTGCTTCGAAGACTCCTCTACTCGTCCACCCCAGGTTATAAGGATTATTTTTACACCACGCACACACACGTACACACTCACACTTGAGGCGTTAAGACAACAGCACACTTGCGATTTCATAATCCTTGTCTATGTTAGGTCCTTTAGAGGATGATTTTGTTGTTGTTTGAAAACGTGCCTGGAACTTTATAAAAGTTTTTGTCAGATAAATGGGTCAGTAGTGTGCGAAGGACAAAACACAAAAAAATATTTTTTATAGGGAAAGTTTCTCCATTCTGGAGGAAATGTGTGAAGGATAAATGTGAGCCGAGTGTAAATGTTATGACAGGATATGATAAATCTCTGTAAGGTGAGGGAAATTCTTATTGGAAAGAACTCTGATTGGACACTCATTTCGAATGGAAGAATTTGAGACCAGATTTTAATCCTTGCAAATATTCTAAGGCATCTCAAGGAAAAATGTGACATAAAGTCTTATTGGAAAAAATCTGATTGGAAATTCCAAATGGGAAACTATTCAGAGATGGGACCAGATTCTATAGGGATTTTAATAATCTTCAAGGAGAAATGTGATATAAAGTCTTATTGGACAAAAAATCTGATTGGGAATTCCAAATGGGAAACTATTCAGATTTTGGACCAGATTGGATTCTATAAAGAATTTAATAATCTTCTAGGTGGTCACAAAAATCAGTTTGGACATTCGATTCGAATGGAAGAATTTGAGACCAGATTTTAATCCGTGTAAATCTTCTAAGGCATCTCAAGGAGAAGGGAGATATAAAGACTTATTGGAAAAAAATGATTGGGCATTCCAAAAGGAAGACTAATCAGCGATTGGACCAGATTTTATATAGGGAATTTAATAATCTTCAAGGGGAAATGTGATATAAAGTCTTATTGCACAAAAAATCTGATTGGGAATCCCAAATGGGAAACTATTGCACCAGATTCTATAAAGAATTTAATAATATTCTAGGTGGTCACAAAAATCAAATTGGACATTCGTTTCGAATGAAACAATTTGAGACCAGATTTCAATCCTTGCAAATCTTCTAAGTCATCTCAAGGAGAAGACATATATAAAGTCTTATTCGAAACAAATCTAATTGGAAATTCCAAATGGAAGACTAATCAGCGATTGGACCAGATTATATATAGGGAATTTAATAATCTTCAAGGAGAAATGTGATATAAAGTCTTATTGGAAGAACAATCTGATTGGGAATTTCAAATGGGAGACTTATTAGAGATTGGACCAGAGTTTATAGGGAATTTAATAATCTTCTAGATGGTCACAAGAATTTTAATTGGGAAACCCCCATTTCCTTTTGCCAAAACACCTGCACCATGTCATCCATTATTACCACTATTTTGATAGAATACCTATGATTACACATAGAGACACTAAATGGATATATGTTTTTTACCTTCTATCTATGACCTTATCTGGAGGTATTAGAATTATAACCAACAACAACATTTATCATTTATTTTAGTCATCTGAAATCTGTTTAACAAATGTTCGGTTAATTTTTTTGTCTTCGTTTGCAGGTATCATATCGCACAATGATAAGAGAATTTCCCCCTTCTTTATTTTTGAGCTGATAAAGCAGAAAAAAAAACAATTGCACTATGAAATCATGGTTAAATAAAAAAAGTTACGACTAAGCATTAAGCAGCTAGTTTGGGGACATTTTTTATGCAAATTTTTTTTTTTTGGAACCCTCCAAAAAACCTTTAAAAATGCGTGGATTTTTACAAATTATTTTGGCCTACTAAATAGAGGCGTGGATTTTTTAAATTAATTTTTGGGGTTACCATGGAGGCATGAATTTTTTTAAATTAATTTTTTGGGTACCAATAGAGGCGTGAATTTTTTTTAAAATTAATTTTTGAACGGCTGAATAAAAGAGTGGATTTTTATACCCTCTACCATAGTATGGAGGGTATATTATTTTGTCATTTCGTTTGTAACTCATCGAAATATTGATTTCTGACCCTATAAAGCATATATACTTTATATCAGGATAAAATTCTAAGACGATCTAGCCTTCCATCTGACTGTCTGTCCGTCCGTCTTTTGAAGGAATTGAGATTGAATTGAATTGAGTGAGGAAATTTTGCATAGGGTTGTCTTTTGTCAGCAGGCAGGTCAAGTTCGAAGATGGGATCTAGCGGTCCACGTTTAGGCATAGCTCCCATATAATGGTACCCTCCTCAATTTTCGGTATTTTGGGATTCTTAAGCGGATTTTTAACCGAATTCGCTTAAATATGGTACTTTAGGTTCTTATGGGGTACTTCGTTTCTCCACAAAAAATTATAACTATAGGTCCACTGTTCCACCATATAACGGTACCCCCTAATTTTCAGTATTTTGGGTGTTTCTGATCGCATTTTTCCCACAGAATTGGGTGTAATGTAGTATTTTGAGTTTTTAATAGGTACCAAATCTCTCCACAAAAAATTATGAATATAGGTCCATTTTTTTGGATAGCCCCCATATAAGGGTACAGCCGAATTTTCGATATTTTCGGGTTCTTAAGGGCGTTTTTCAACCGAATTCGCTGAAATTTGGTACATTGAGTTCTTTTTGTCTACCAAATATCTCCAATAAAAGATATAATTATAGGTCGATTTTTTCGGGTAGCCCCCATATAAGGGCACCCCCAATATTCGCCCCATTTTTGGGTAGTTCCCCATATAAGGGGGTTTATACCCTTCAGCACACTGTGATACAGGGTATTATGTCTTTGTACATATGTTTGTAATAGGCAAAAGGAATCGAGATAGACCCATGATTCCTTTTGAGAATATGCATAGAATCACTTTCTGAGTCGATTTATGCATATCCGCCCGTATGTCCGTCCGTCTGTTGATGTTAAATTGTAAACAAAGTAGAGGTCGCATTTATAATCCGATTTGGATGAAATGTGGCATAGGTCACTTATTTGGCCCAATGACGAACCCTATTGAAATTGGAGGTAAATCGGTTCAGATGTAGATATAGCTCCCATATATATTTTCGTCCGATTTTAGGTAAATGGTGCAGTAAAGGCCATATCTTTCGATTTGCACGAAATTTGGCACAGCGTAATGAATTAGGTCTAGAATGATGTGTGTTAAGTTTCATGCAAATCGGTTCAGATTTAGATATAGCTCCCATATATAGTTTCGTCCGATTTAAGGTAAATGGTACACCAAATTCCCTATATATTTTCGATTTGCACGAAATTTGGCATAGCGTACTGAATTAAGTCTTGAAAGATGTGTGTTAAGTTTCGTAAAAATTGGTTCAGATTTAGATATAGCTACCATATATAGTTTCGTCCGATTTTCAGTAAATGGGGCACCAAAGCTGCAAAATATTGCCGATTGGCGCAACATTTTGCAGAACGTTCTGAAGTTAGTGTAACCTACGATGTGGAAAGTTTCGCTGAAATCGGTTCAGATCTAGATATAGATCCCATATATATTTTCGTGCGATTTTCAGTAAATGGGGCATCAAAGCTCCAAAATATGGCCGATTGGCGCAAAATTTTGAAGAACGTCCTGAAGTTAGTGTATGCTACGGTGTGGTAAGTTTCGCTGAAATCGGTTCAGAATGAGATATAGCTCCCATATATAGTTTCGTCCGATTTTCAGTAAATGGGGCACCAAAGCTCCAAAATATGACCAATTTTTACAAAAATTTTCAGAAAGTTGTGAAGTTAGTGTAACCAACAGTGTAGCTCCAATATGTACTTTCGTCCGATTCGTCCCAAAGTGGTGATGGGTATAATAAAGTCGGCCTCGTCCGACTTACACTTTCCTTACTGGTTTAAAATAATTTTTCAATACCAATTCTGGGATTTTTTTAAAAATACGTTCCTGGGCACTTGGAAACTCAATCTTGGAAATGAAAATCCTTAATTTTTTTTTAAATCGACAGCAAAGGAAATCCTCGCCTGAAATGATATTTTTAAAAATACAAGGTCTCAAAAAATATAGCCCTTGGAAAAAATATTTTTTTAAAAACACACAGTGTAACCAACAGTGTAGCTCCAATATGTACTTTCGTCCGATTCGTCCCAAAGTGGTGATGGGTATAATAAAGTCGGCCTCGTCCGACTTACACTTTCCTTACTGGTTTAAAATAATTTTTCAATACCAATTCTGGGATTTTTTTAAAAATACGTTCCTGGGCACTTGGAAACTCAATCTTGGAAATGAAAATCCTTAATTTTTTTTTAAATCGACAGCAAAGGAAATCCTCGCCTGAAATGATATTTTTAAAAATACAAGGTCTCAAAAAATATAGCCCTTGGAAAAAATATTTTTTTAAAAACACACACCTATGTAAAGACCCTGAAAAAAATATTTTTAAAAAATCCACGCTTATAATAGGTTTTTTTCTCTGTTTTCTTAATGAACCTGAATATAGATACGATATATTTAAATGGATCCTCTCCCTTATATTTTTTTGAAAGGGTAAGGGAGCAGGTCATTTGTAGGCTGTTACTATTTATACCCTGGCAAATTAACTCACCTGCAGGCCAATGGTAATAGGGGTAGCGTTTGTTTTATGGAGGGCCTTAGATTTTGATTACGCTTCTCAGGCCATACATGATCGAATTTTAATTTCAGGCCATACTGGGATATGGCGGTAATTTCATTCCTTTGCTGTTGTTCGTCGTAATTAGCACTGACGGAATCCATGTTTGGGAGTTAAATTGCGTGTAAATAACGTTTTGGATTGGAGGGTGTATTGTTTTGGTAGGGTCTATTATAATTAATGACTGAATTGACGAATTGATTGATTAACGAACGCACTGACACACATACACTCACACGCACTCTGGGGAATTCTGTATTGGATTTTTTAGAGTGGCTGGCTGACTAGGCTAACAAGTGGCAAATGGGCACTGAAGTGCTACAATTTTTCACTTGCCGAACGGTTGGTTGTTTGTGCGGGGGTTTGAGGTACGCAGGAGAAGAAGATACTTGAAATTTCAGTTTCTTTCTCAATTGTTTTGTGACATTTGCTATTAATAATTTTTTAGTTTTTATTTTTAATAAATATTTATTTTAAAATCGTTTTCTATTATTATTTTTATTCTCTGTTTTATTTATGTATATTTATTTTTTTTATATATTCTACAGCACGTATGTCATGGGTAAAACCGCTCACAGTTATATGCCCACAAAATATTTTTTGTTTATTATTATTTTTTATTATTATTAAACAATTGGTGTGTGTTCTTAATTCATTTATTTATTCACTTTGCCTATTTGACAGCAGTCACAATTATGTTTTTATTTTATTTTTCTATGCTATCCACAGTTGTTCCCCCTTTGTTGTTGTTGCAGCTCAGCTTAATGTTGTGATTTGTAATAATTTTCTGGCGTGTTGTTGTTGTTTTTATTTTCAGCACACACACAATTTTCTGGTTTGTTTTTTTCTCTTCTTCTTCTTTTCCTTCACTTTCCTTGGTCGGCCTTCCTTTGATTTTTGAGTGAGTTTTACAACAAACACTTTTTTCCACCTCTTTTTTTGAATTTTTTGTTTTTGGACAATAGTTGTGGTTTAACCATAGACTAAATAAAATATAGACAGCGAAATGCTCTCTTTGTTGTTCTTCGAATTTTCGAACATAGGTAGATGGTGTTAGGGAGCAAGTTTTTGAGTAAATTATTTTCTCAAAAACTGAGTGAGTTTTGTTTTTGAGCGTAAAAATTATTAAAATAAATAATGTAGATGACACTGCAGCATTTAGATAATGCACTTTGCATTTTGAGTGTTTCTTATAATATTAGATAATGCTCTCCTCATTTTATATTTTATTTGTAGGGGAAAAGTAGGAGATTCGTATTTGTGTAACAAATGTTGTTGCATATATTGTCAGGTGCATTCATCAAATAGAAAAAGTTGAAGCATAGCGAAATTGTTTTTAAATTGCAAATTCATTAAAATCTAAAAAAATACTAATGTGTATTTTTGCGTTCGTAATATACATGATAATTAAAACGGCTTTTAGATTATAAGTTGTTGCCGTGTTAAAGTGGGCCACACACGTCAAACACACACCGATTTGGCGGTGCGCACACCGATCGAAAGAAATTAAAAATTTTTAATTTTTCGTTGTGCGACGCGCACATGTTTGACGTCTGTGGCCTGGTGTGTGGATAATTTCTCATTTGTTGTGAAATTTCGTGGAGTGCGGAGCAGAGGACAATGTCAAACATATGCAAAAAAATGTTTTGGGAGAATTTTTTGATGGTTTTTACACATATCCTACAATGTGGGAAGTAAAAATGTTTTTCCCGGAATAAAAGAAAGGTATTTACTAAATTTATATTAAATAAAAATATTTGGTCTTTTTTCCGCCATCACTATCGCTGCCCATCTTTACGCTTCAAAAATAAATATGAAATGAAGTTTTGTGGATCCGTTTGACGTGTGTGGGCTAGAAGCTTCACACCGATCGAAAACACATGTTTGACGTGTGTGGCCCACTTAAACCTCCTCTGTGAGGATTTATTTGACATATATGTAAATGAGTTGACAATTAAGATGTAGTGGATTTAATAAATCCGCTACAATGTAAACGTACTATAACATTATAATAAAAATAATACAATTTTTACATAAATTTGTATAACAGAAATGCATTATTTTTGCCCATTCGTATACGTAGTATTTAATTTTGAAAACGGTTGGTATAAAAATGCTGGCAGGCGCCAGCAGAAATGTTTTGATAATTAAAGGGAAAATGTTATTTTTAAAGAGACTTATGGCGCGTAAAAACAAATAAATTTATTGAATTTCAACCTTACGCAGCGTATATCCCCTTACGTCATACGCCCAATCAATTCTTACGCAATACCCTCCAGTTATATTTTGAATTGTAGATCCCTATTACGGTCAGCTGTTTTGTAGCAGTTTTTCCAATATTTCGCCACATGCAGCCGGCTGCATTTTATACATTTTCATTTTTTCAATTCTTTTATCCTATATTAATATATTTTTCTTTTTATTTTCAGGTGTTTGGGATCGTAGCAGTCGCTTCCTCCCTTGGAAGCATGAAAAAACAATGCCCTTCCAGCTTTTTTAACATAAGGTGCTGGCGGCATTGCAACGTGGGATTAGGGGGCTTGGGTGGGAGAAGTCACATCCCTCCTTAGCAATACATCCAGGCTCCCTTTTTGATATAAACATATTGTTTTGATGTGGTTATGGTGGCCTCCACAATCGGAAAAAGGCCACAACTATGCGAAGCTCCACGCAAAATTTTTTCCTTCCAGGGGTGAATCTGCGGGTTGGAGTGCCCGCAACATATTCTACAGATGAATCATAACATACGTCGACGGACCATTAACATGAAAATGGATCCATAAATTTTTAATTTGGTCAGATATAGATAGGGTTGCTTCTTACAATGGGGCAAAATTATATAAAGCAATGTAAAGGAAATATATATTTAAGCTATATCGAAACTTTAAACAGTCTATGTTATATGCTTCATGTACTTAAAGTCTGGAGAAAATGTATATGGGAGCTCTATCCAAATCTGAACCGATTTCAAAACATTCCACAAGCTAGGTTATATTAACTTCAGTACGTTGTGCAAAATTTTGTGTCAATCGGTCTACCCTTGGGTCTTTGGTGAACCATTTACTTAAAATCGGATGAAACTATATATGGGTGTTATATCTAAATCTAAACCGATTCTTATTATACTTAGCACACGGTACGGGTGTTTGTTGCACCTTTTACTTAAAATCTGACGAAGCAATATATAGGAGCTATATCTAAATCGAAACCTATTTCCACTAAACTTGCCACAAGTTATGTTAAAGCAAATCCAGTGCGTAGTGGAAAATTTTGTGCCGATTGGACCCACCTTGACGAAGCATATATATCCAAATTCTAGGTTAAACTAACTTCAGTACATTGTGCAAATTTTTTTGTTAATTATGTGTAAAATCGGACGAAAATATACTTGTAGAAGCTATATCAAAATCTGAACCGATTTAAATGAGACTTGTCAAAAATTAACTTATATTAACTACAGTTCATTGTACAAAATTGTGTGGCAATCAAACTTTGGGTCTTTAAAGCCCCATTTACCTAAAATTGCACAAAAATATATATGGGAGCCATATCTAAATCGGAAGCAATTATCACGAAACTTAACACACATAATTCGAAAGATATATAGGGACTTTGGTGCAACATTTACATTAAATCGGACTAAATTATATATTGGAGTTTCATCTAAATCTGGACCGATTTTCACGAAACTTAACACACAGCATTAATGAATATAGATAATATAGTACAATCATTCCAGGGACCTATGTATTGGAAAACCGTTTAGAATTGGCTTTATCACACAGGAATCGCCATGTTTCAACATTTGTACACCTTGTGTGGTAGGTATCAAAAGGAGTGGACCGACCTGAGGGGCAGACATGTATATCTAATATTTAATCATAACGTTATTCATTATATTAATATATATTTTATTACTTTGTTATAACTGTTGATCTTGTTTTTCTTATAAATGAACAATATATAAGCAATAAATAAATAAAAGCTATGTGTTTTATTTTGAATATATGAAGGCTAAATTATTTCTGTATAGTTTTTCATTTCATTTTTGAATAAAAAATTGGGAAATGTAAGTCTTACCACAAGATTTTAATAAAATTTAAAAAAATGTCAAAAGCTTTGTAAGTCTGTGTTTATACATGCAACTTTTGTAAGCAACTCTGCTAAGTTCTTCGAAGTGAGAGGTATAAAAAGTGACAAGGGGGAAGAAATTGAAAAGAGATTCGTAGAGAGCAGCAGCAGAGTTGCATGAAAAAGTTGCATGTGTAAACCCGGAGTAAACACTTCAAGAAAAGTGTTTTTTCTGTTTCCCAAAATAATAAAGAAATTTATGTATACAATTGGAACGTGGTGGCGACTATTAGGAAAAATGCGTCATTTTTGGATTATAAATGAAATATGTGTAACAAATTTCAAAGAACAGTAGCGAACAATGGAAGAATCTAATTCATTTAATTAATTAAAAATTGCACAAACTGTTACCGCTTGTTGATCCATAAATGTAAATTCAGTGACTGATAAATTCTAATTGGAAAAAAATGTTTCTATCCTTCTTATATTCTAATTAAATAAATTTTCTTGCAGACATAATTTATTAATAGTTTTCTACCAAAATAATTAATTTTAATTGAAACAAAATATATATTAAATTTTGTTCGTCCATCATAAATATTTGAAAAAAAAATTTTTTTGAAAGAGATTATATTTTCCTTAAATTTCTTCCTCCTTTCATGTAGATTTTTGAATTTGACTGTGAATTAGAATGTAAAAAATGCGTAAAATACACGTATATGACGGTAAATTTTTCTTTAAGTTTTTTTGCGATCTTTTAAAAAGGCCGTGGTACATTTAGAAATGTTTATTAAAAACTAAAACTATATTCTTGTTTAAAAAATATATATTGACAATTTTAATTACTTATATATTGGATTTTTTACATTTCAGATTAACCAGTCTTTCGACCTTAAACGACATGTACACTAGAACTTTTTCACCGGGTTAACCTACTTTATGAGGATTTATGTGACATATATGCAAAGGAATTGACAATTGAAACCCACTGGGTTAAAGAAATCCGGTTAATTGTAAACGTACAATTAAGGCTG